TGCGAGAGTGTGTGTGTGTGTGAGTGTGTGTGTGTTTGATGGTTACCAGCGGCTGCCGGCTCGCATTAATCCGCTCTCGGTTGACGTCGCAGGGTTACCGTCCGGTGGTTGCTATGGTAACGCGGTTTTCCCTGTGATCCGTGTTTCTGGGTCACATGACCGCCGGTGTGTGTCTGTACTGAGTGATCGCAGGCTTCCGATCGCACCGGGCTGCTGGGAACAGTCTTCTCTGTTTGAAAGCGTTTGGCTGAAAGAGACTCATTTGTAAGGCCTTTTGTCTGCGTCCCTCCCCCCTCTGAATGGACGCCACCAGCACGGCCTGATGGGAGATTGTTTCTCTGTTCAATGGCCTCATCTTGAGCGGGTTCATTCATTCTGTGTGTGTGCAGTGACTGAACATGTTTAACACATTCTGGAGTAAAACACCCTTGTTTGCTTTAAGGCAAAACCATTGCTTTTCATGCACTGGGCAGTTCAGAGATTGTGGTTTATTTTGCGTCAGACGTGTTATGCTCTTGAGTTCTGTGACCTCTGACCTCTGACCCTCTCCAGGTGCCACTCAGCTGCTGCTTCTGGCGCGGCGCACAGACCTGCGGCGGATCTCTCTGGACACGCCAGACTTCACCGACATCGTGCTGCAGACCGACGACATCCGGCACGCCATCGCCATCGACTTCGACCCGGTGGAGGGACACGTCTACTGGACGGACGACGAGGTGCAGGCCATCCGCAGGTCCCACCTGGACGGGAGCGAGGCTCAGTTCGTGGTGACCTCGCAGGTGAATCATCCGGACGGGATCGCCGTGGACTGGATCGCACGCAATCTGTACTGGACCGACACCGGCACGGACCGGATCGAGGTGACGCGGCTGAACGGAAGCATGAGGAAGATCCTGATCTCGGAGGAGCTGGACGAGCCGAGGGCCATCGTGCTGGACCCCGCCGCCGGGTGAGACCTCGTCTGCTTGAACTCTTCAGGCTGAATGAGTTTCATGTGGCGATTAGACGGCCTCTTCCTGCTTCATTTCAGTCAGTAGTTCACTGATCATTCGGAGAATAATTCAGTCATAGTACACATTCATAGCTTCACTTTAGTTTTTCTTCCGCAAACTCCGGATTTTTTGCTTTGCTTAATGTGTGTTTGTTTGCTGAAGTTACACAGGCTCCAATGAATTTCCTAAGATTCATTTTCTGGTTCTTAAACTCTTTTAGAGGACTGAATAGAGCCGAGTAATCCAAACTCATCGGAGTTTTAAAGGCATTACTTTGTCAGAAGGAACGGAAAAACTATTTATAACATTTGTTATAAACGTGTGACGCGTATAACGGTTAAATCAGGTGCGAAACATAAATATGGATACAGCGTGTTACCAGTTTTGAAGTCATTTAAAAACATTTTGTTCCTGAAATGTGTCCCTGGAGCACAAAAGCAGTGTTAAGTCGCTGGGGTATATTTGTAGCAATAGCCAACAATACATTGTATGGGTCAAAATTATACATTTTTCTTTTATGCCAAAAATCATTAGGATATTAAGTAAAGATCATGTTCCATGAAGATATTTAGTAAATATATTACCGTAAATATATCAACTTAATTTTTGATTAGTAATATGCATCGCTAAGAACTTCATTTTAACAACTTTATTGATTTTCTCAATATTTTTTATATGATCTAATCTGATTTCAAAACCATTTTTTGATTTTGAGAGCTGAAATCCAGTCGCTATTGAACCCTTTCATGAAAACATAGCCTTGCTCTAGTGTCGTCAAAGGCTGCTGGAGCTCCGTGTTCAGCGTGTGCTGAAGCGTGTGCTGAAGCGTGTGTCCCGTGTCGCTGCAGGTACATGTACTGGACAGACTGGGGTGAAGTGCCGAAGATCGAGCGGGCGGCTCTGGACGGGACGGAGCGGCTGGTGCTGGTCAACACGTCTCTGGGCTGGCCCAACGGACTGGCGCTCGACTACAGCGAGAGGAAGATCTACTGGGGAGACGCCAAGACCGACGTCATCGAGGTGAGAAACCACACTATCAGCAGCAGCGCCTCTTCAGTATCCACCTCAGTTATAAACACAAGCAAATAACATTCAGTCCTATTCCACTACAATACATATGTAGGAATATTTCATCAGTTTTCACTGTGTGTTTTCTCCAGTTGTGACGTGATGAATCATGGTGAATGTCACGAGGTCTCGTGCTGTCAGTCGTCTCTTACTCTCAGGCTTTAGCCTCTGGAGCTTCAGCGTGTCTCATTAGCCGTGGCTCCACAGGAGTGAGAAACTGCTGATAATCCTGACAGATACAGCTGTGTGTGTGTGTGTTTATATCCAGCCGGCAGCAGTGCTGCTTCACGCTGAGAGTTCACGCTAACAGCACGCACTGAGAGTCTGACAGAAACAAGACTCATGAACACACACACGTGGAGAACCGTCTGTGTGTGAGTGTGTCTGTGTGTGAGTGTGTCTGTGTGTGAGTGTGTGTGTCTGTGTGTGTGTCTGTGTCAGTGTCTGTGTGTGTCAGTGTCTGTGTGTGTCAGTGTCTGTGTGTGTCAGTGTCTGTGTGTGTCAGTGTCTGTGTGTGTCAGTGTCTGTGTGTGTCAGTGTCTGTGTGTGTCAGTGTCTGTGTGTGTCAGTGTCTGTGTGTGTCAGTGTCTGTGTGTGTCAGTGTCTGTGTGTGTCAGTGTCTGTGTGTGTCAGTGTCTGTGTGTGTCAGTGTCTGTGAGTGTGTGTGAGTGTCTGTGTGTGTGAGTGTGTGTGTGTGAGAGAATGTTAGACGTGAGTGTGTGAGTGTCTGTGTGTGTGAGTGTCTGTGTGTGTGAGTGTCTGTGTGTGTGAGTGTGTGTGTGTGTGAGAGAATGTTAGACGTGAGTGCAAGCACACATGGCTCTAGAGTAGGGATGCACCGATACCGATACTGGTATCGGTATCGGGCGTGTGTGTCAGTGTCTGTGTGTGTGAGTGTGTCTGTGTGTGTCAGTGTCTGTGTGTGTGAGTGTGTCTGTGTGTGTCAGTGTCTGTGTGTGTGAGTGTGTCTGTGTGTGTCAGTGTCTGTGTGTGTGTCTGTGTGTGTCAGTGTGTACTGTACTGTTCATGAGTAACTGAACTCATGAACTGGTCATATGATCTGCAGGGCTCCAGAAACATGAGCGTTGTCTGTAAGAGTGTAGTTTAGTCTGGAACATGAGACTCTGAGCTCCGTACGGACGTGACGCTGCTCTCTCGTTCGGGGGGAGGACGGCCAGTTCTGTGGTTTCAGCCCACATCTGGTTCCGATTGCGGCCTCCTCTCCATCTGCGGTCGCTGTGTTTAGAATAGACCCAGAATCTGAAAGCCACACCGCACTGCGGTCTCGATCCAAATCGGCGGAGACTGAGGCCCAAACACTCCAGATGGAAACTTCACCCGGAGCTCCAGCGAGCACGCTCTGATTGACCACACAGGTTCTTATCCTGGAATCTGGACCGGGATCTGAGCGCAGCACGTGTGTGTGTGTGTGTGTGTGAGAGAGTGTGTGTGTGTTTGTTTGTTTGTGTGAGTGTGTTTGTGTGTTTGTTTGTTTGTGTGTGTTTGTTTGTGTGTGTGTTTGTTTGTTTGTGTGTGTGTTTGTGTGTTTGTTTGTTTGTGTGTGTGTGTTTGTGTGTGTGTGTGTGTGTGT